TCTGAAGTCCGATCTTGCTAAAAATTGCATCATATATATGTTTTAACTAGATGGGAGCTAAAAGAGACAATATTTTTACATATATTCATGAGAAAAGGACTTGTTCAACAAAGTATCTCTTATCAAAAATTAAAATCAAATCGAAGATAGTCATATGTCGTTTTCACTGGTTCTTGCCATACATATGAATGACATGTTAATACATTTTCTAATCGATGGCAATGTTTGTTTATAATGCTGTCATTGTATGACAAGTCTGTGCAAGATGTCGGAAGATTACAAGTAAACAAAAAGAAAACATATTTGCATTCGAGAGAAAAATTCAATACCATTTGCCAAGTACATTATTCACACTATTGCTCTTATACTATTCTAAGATTATGAAAATCATCAATATAAACTTATTGATTAATCGACAAACTTTGTATGAAAAATCAATATAAAGCTTTCGACACATACGAAGACTCCTGAGGACAAATAAAACAGAAGATCCCCCTCTGAGAATCAATTTCTTTTTATAAATAACTTCTGTAAGTTATTGAATTTTTAGTACTTATGCCCATAATAATATTTAAGTTCAGTATGAACAATATTTTGCTTCTGTCGTCATAGCGATGTGTTACTTCCGAGTTAAAAAATCTTGAAAAATAGCTAATAAGAAACAATAGTCTGTTGAAAAAAATATAGTTCTTTATTAAAGACGTATTGTAGAGTCACTTCAATACTCTTTTGTAGCAAAATTTGAAAAAAAAATTCTTTAGGTTGGCTATACGAAAAAACTGTTCTCATCATCATAGGACCTAATTTATGCAGTGTACGTTCACACGGGTTACGCATGAAGAGATCTTTCTAAACTAGAAACATATTCAGTTGTGTATTAATTAAAAGACCTCTTTCTCTTTGAAATTGCTTCAAGAAATTCAAAACTTTTTTCACACAAGAACGCATTCATTTTTCTGTTTTTTTTTCAAAGTTATTTAACTTTTGAGAAGGTTAAACGTTACCAGTGATAGATCTTATCCTTTAGAAAAAAGAATGCTATTAGACATTGTATCAAGATATTAGGGTATGTTGACTGTATTGTTTTAGGAACACTTTTCTTAACAACGCTCATGTTTCTTTTTTTCACAGAATATTATCTGCTTCCTTCTTATTCTACGCCTATGGGATAAGTGGAGTAAACTTGTTTACTAATGATGTATTAGGCAAAAATGCATTGAAACTAAGCATTATGGGCAAGACTATCATAAAAATATGACTTATTAAAAGGAACTTAATAGAAGATCTTTCTTGTAATCTATGAACGATAAAACAGATTAGAAAACCTTGAATCTTCTAATGTGTCGAAGATTTTACTAATGCTTCGATTCGTACTAACATCGAAGTTATAGTACTTAAGATAACTGACTTATCGAGAATTTTACTTCCAATGTATTATATTTTAAGCTAATTCTATTTCTTTGATGAATGAGCGCAGCTAAATTCGTTAAATACTTTTAGTCGTTTGCTTCCAAAAATCAAAAGCTTATAAAGCATAGATTTACATGTATCTCGCTTTTGAAGATATATTCGTATTAAAAGTATCAACATCGAATAATAAAAAGTCATATCATTCTTTAATTTTAAATACCTTCACTAGTTCGACGTTCTTTGCAGCTTCTTATTTTTCTTCATTGATCAGTGAAGATTCTTCCTTGAAGCTTAGAACAAAAGGAATCTCGACTCATCCATCAATAAATCAGAAATCTGGAAAGAATTGCATGACATCTAAGTTTCCTTGAAGCTCTAACAAGGCTCAAGATTCTTATCTGATCCTTAAGGCAAGTAGTAGATGATGGCTATGTGCACACATACATGTATGTCAGCGTATAATCTAAGATCCGAGTTTGAATAAGTTCAAACTTGAATCGAGCAGAAATTTGAAATCAATTTTGGATTTCGGATTTTCTTCAATGAACTACGACGCGGTTGATCATTCAAGTTTGATTGAAATATCTATAAAAAAAATTCCATTGAGCTTCTATTGACATAGAAAATTTGTTCAATCAATCTCTGACTTTTCAATCGAATATTATAAAAGTAAATTTCATAAATTTGTTGTAGTTCATGAATAAAGGGTTCTCAATCCAACAACGATTTCAGGATTAAAATGGAGTTTTCATGTCAATTTTTTGCGATCGAAGTTTGGAAACTCGGATCTTAGATTGGACGCTGACATATATATACGAACATGGGAAAGTAATTATTCATTTCTACGCGATGACAGATAATATTTATCATGTTTAATTTAATAAACAAGAGCTATCAAATTAATCAAAAAAACAATTCTATCAAGACGAAGAATTATAGACGATACCTATTTTAATGTAGATAGATTACTTCGATCATTTGTTTCGTCTTTTTCTCTTCATGATGAATTTATTAGATTTATAGTCTGACTGTAAAATTATCTTTTGTTTTGTTCTTTCTATTTATCATTGTAAATATTTTCCATCTTTTCTTCTTGCATGTCATGTGAAATAAGATGTATTTCTTTTTTTGTTGCACTTATCTTTTACTTTTTCATGCATTTTATTGAAATCTTGTAGTAAATATAAAACAATAACAACTGAAGATAATCATGTTGACTTATACAGTGATTATACCTGAATCACAAGAATCAGACAAGAGTTCAAGAATCTTACTGACATGGCAAGTCTAGTCTAATCAGCCAAGACTCGATCTGCATGGATCTTGCGAGAAAATCAAGAATCTGGGAAAAATAGCGGCAAGAATGTTGGTTAGTGAAAATATTAAAAGAGAAAATCTTATCTTCGAAAAGAATCAAAATTCGCAAGTTAAACAATTCATCTAATTCTTATGTCTCATGAGTATACTCTTTTATTTTACAAACGAAAATAAGAATATCGTAAGAGAATTAATTATGAAATAGAATTTTCTCCAAATCTACAAATAATTTCATATCTGAAATGAGAATAATCCATCATCGAACACAATAGTAAAGCCATAATAGGGAAGTCTTACAGCCTCACTAAAATATTACAATATTCAATTCATTTGCATATATTCTTGTTCTCTATTGTCATTCATTTCTCTTCTTTATCCAATACATCATACTGATGTCGGTGTTAGAATTAAAGAGGAGTGAGTGTAAGCTCAATATCTAGACAACAACAACGGTTAAAGACCTGCGGTTTTCAGCAATCGAAATAGAAATTTTTCACAAAACATTTTTAAAAAATACTTGGATTTTGACATGTGCACTAGATAGAAGGATTTCAGTTCTAGAGTTCAAGAAACGATTCAGATAATTATGTTCTCATATGGTAACCTTGACCAAGCAAAATTGTGTACCCTTTCAATCAAATGATACAGATTTTTTGTTGATTTTTAGCAAATTTTCTGATTTCGTATCAATATTTTACAGAAACGAAATGTCGTTTTCATGCATGTTTTAAAATATTTTGCAAAACCCTCATCTTTCGATTACTTAAAACAGTAGATCGCTCGCTGTTGCCATTATTACGTCATTGAGCTAACACTCACTTGTCTTTTATTCTGGTGCAGACGTCACTTCTGTCAAATACGGAATTCTCTTTTAAAATAAAATTTGCGACAATTTCAAACACATAAAAAATAATTAAAATTTAAAAAAAACATCATACATGAATCTTTGCAACAGAGCCAATATCTTCTGTTCGAATACGAAATCGTTCTACTGCACCCATTTCAAAAAGATTTCGTAATGGAAAATCATTAGTATCTGGTATCCAATTAGAATGAGTTAGTTGATATTCACCAGTACTTTCATCTTTTGAATTAAATAAACGAATATAAATATTACTATCAGTTCCAGCAAAACGTTCATTGCCCGTATATATATAAATATTCCAAACTTAAAAAAAAAGACACTTTTTGAGATTAACACATATGCATGACCTATAATGTTTATAGTTTAAAAATAAATATGAATTTCTATAAGTTTCTAGCGAAAAGGTCAATACGATATTCATAGGAAAATTATGAGCACTATTGTAGCTATGGCTCGAACTTATAACTACACGACTACTCAATAAGGCTCTAGATGAATTTTTAATCATATCAGATACTCATGTCATAAAGTTCTTCAGATTAATATGCAAAAAATTCTCTAAATTAATTTTTGTATAAATTGTCAATTTCCAATTTGTTGTAATGAACTGCACTTTTTTTTTATTTGATAGATAAATACATTCTCTTTCGAATGAGGAAAATGGATTTCGTATTCAACCCTCAATATGAAAGCAATCATGAATTTTCTAGAAAAACATTGCTTAAAATTTTTAGGACCTTAAAAATGAAATAATTCATTTTTCCCATCCGAAGAGATAGAGAAATCTCTTTGAAATAAGAATAGCCGGAGCGCTGTCGTTTGAAGTCTATTGAAATAAACATTTGTACACATGAAAGTCCAATTTTAGATTATGGTTTCTGAAGGGTTAAGTTTGCAGTCATGAAAATCGATTTTGGAGAAAGGAGAAGGCGCAAAATAAAACAAATAATTACTTTCTGCAAAGCAACATGGAATAACACAGAGAAATAATATAAATATTTGCATCATTATAGATAAAAATGTTTAAATATTTTCATCTAAAAGTGAATTATAAGAATAATTATCAACTAGAATGTGGCATAGTGAAAAAAAAATTTAAGTAATTTGTCTATTGCATGCCGAAGTTGAAGAAGAGAAAAAAATACACATATAACTAAATCTGCATACATTACTCTTCATGAATCTTCGTATAACTTTAAGAGAACAATTTCAAATATAGAAAAAAAAGATCGTTTTATACTTGACTTATTTTCCTTTTTATGAATATGATGACTATTCACACACACACGAAAATCATACAAAGATTATCATAAGAAAAAAAAATAGAAAGATGAGAGAACCATTCAATATAACAAGAAAGAAAAAAAATAACATTAACAGTGAGAACAAATGATTTAACTTTTCTTTTTTATGGTGAATACCATTTTGATTTTCGTAAATCACTTCGACACATAGGACATTTAGTACTTTTCTAAAATGAATAAAACTAAAAATTTTGAAACAGCAAAAAATATTTCTCAAACCTTAAGCCATTTATCAATACATCGTGTATGAAATCTGTGTAAACAAGGAATAGTCCGGACTTTATCATTAGCCTTATATTCGTTAAGACAAATATCACATACAACACCAACTACTGATATTTCTTCAGCAGTTGCCATTGGATAACATTCAATTAGATGTCTAGATAAACCTGAACCAAGTAAATCATCATCATCGTCTTGATCAAACAACCGACCATTGGATGGTTCAGTATAAAAATCACCTTCATCGTCGGTTTCCCAACTAGAAAAAATACGAAGTAAATAAATCTAGACGAAAAAAACGAATTTATCCTATTATATACCTATCACTTTGATCAGCTAAAGCAACATCAACTTCTTGAATTTGTTCAGATGTTGGTACTTGATCTGTAATAAAATAAAATTAGATATTTTACTATGATTTATAGTTGAATACCTTCTGATCGAAATTGATTTGTTGTAATAGAATTATTTCTATTAATTTGTTGATCTGTAGATGTTGAAATTTCTTGATTATTTTGTTTATTTGAAGACATTATATCTAAAAAACAAAAAATTAACCTTGACATTGAATAAAAAAATCTTTGAATGAAAAGCGTTTGATTCATATCTGAAAATTTAGAAGAATGAAACGAAAACAAAAATTTCGTCAGAATGTTCGAGTGAATAAACAATTAAATAGATACATTGGAAAATCTCCACTGTACATGAGTCAGAAATGCAAAACTATAAATGGATTATTATTTCGTTCTTTCTTTCTTTCCATTTGAATTATCATTCAATACAATAAATAGAAAACATTCGACAGATGTCGATAATATTCAGTATTTATGTAATTTTAGTTTTTTAAATACTAATCGGTATAAATAATAGTTACTTCCATTTTCTTGTTATACAAAGTTAGAACGACCGAAACAGGAACACATTATCACATTGAAAGACTTCTCAGTGTTGTAGTCTCCCTTGGGATTAAAATGTGGCATTCATCGGCGTTATTTACTCTCATTATACTTATAAAAAATACATCAAGTGCAAAATCTTGAGCAGACTATAGTATTTTTTCAAGAAAAATTGATTACCTGGGAAACGATTCTTCATATTTATTTGTATATTTCGAACAGAAATTTTTGTGTTTGTCTTGTTACGATTCGCTCGCTGTTTGTCATTTTCATATTCAGTTTTTCTTAATTTAACATTATTATTATTACTATTGTTTGAACTGATAAATAAGTCTACTGTATAAACTCATTATAACTATAATAGCTCTTAACGCACTCACTATTATATTTCATATGAAGACTATGATAAATGAATCATGTTTGGTATTTTTTTTCATTTTTTCAAAAATCATAAACTTCATTATTTCCAACATTCACAAAGATATTTCAGTTATTCGGATTTCGAGGAAAGGTTTGGAATGTTTTAGAACAGTCTAAATCTTGTTGTTAATGCCGTTCTGAATCTTTTGTTGTTGTTGTTGTAGTTGTTCCGTAATTCTGAGAAAGAAGCCTAACGCGTGTTGTCCTCGATAAAAATGTACCCGATAAGTGTCGTCACACCACCCCTCGTTATGAGTGTGGGGTGAAGCCGTAAAATCTCAACTTATAACTATATAGAATACTATTCATAGTCTATACAAAATTTCTATTGTTTTTTTTAATTTTGTTTCGTAAACAAAAAACAAACGAATATCTATAATAAAATTACAATACAACAAGAACAAAGGCGAACGTCTAGATATGTTGTTTATTTATATTCTATATTTTTTGGCTATATTACAAGTCAACATTTATTGCTTGGTCCACATTGAAGATTCAATGATTGTCTGCAAGATAATTTCTAAAAAGATATAATAGCAAATAAACATATGATAATACGAGATTAAATACCTGGCTTTTTTATCTCGACAACGTTGAGCACGTGCTTGACCAAGAATAGATTGATGTGCTTCTCTAGCCCAAAATGTTTCAAATCGTTCGGGTTCATCAGGAAAATATCGATCAGCTACGGCTTCTAAATAACTATAATAAATCTTCTGTAGAATAGAAATTCTTGTCAAATATCACCTTTTATTCTATCAAGACGTTCATCAGAATTAATACCAGCAACAATTTCATTTGTTGAATAAACTTTACGTATAAGTCGACATAAAAATTCTGTCGGCCTTTGTGAAACAATATCTGTACTACTATGTATTCGTTTATTTCTATTCGATGTTGGTTTTGATGATACACTAGATGACGAACGTACATAAGGTAATCCCATTTGTGATGCATCATCAAAGTCATTTGTATCTGCATTCTATATCAATGATATAATTATTATTAAAATTTTTGCTTTCAAAGGCTACATTCCTCAAAAAAGTCAATTTTCATAAAAAAAAAACAATGAAAATAAAGATAGATAGCCTGATGCCTGACCTTTCATGGATGGCATGACTTTTTGTATTCAGCAGCCCTGTTTCTGCCAAAATTTTTAACGATTTTGGTCATCGTCAGTTCAAAAAATGTACTATTTCCAGAAAAACGGAAAATACTTGTAAAATACGATCTAAAAGAAGTGTTGAAGTATAAGGATGAAAATTTGAACTCATCTCCATCACAAAAAATAACAGATATCTTAGCAACATTTATTCTTCGTCACAGACCGCAACAGACACAACTATAGAAACGCCATCGACCGTGTGTCCATAACATCTCGTTAAATTACTTCCTTATTTCATTTTTCAATGATTAAGAAAAAAGATGGTGATGAAATGTGTGTCTCAAAATAGATACAATAAAATAGTTTTCCTATGATTAGCACCAGCAACTACAGCATGTTTCGCATTTTAATCCCGCAGAGATTGCGCTAACAGGTTTTCTTCTCTTTTAATATATTTTGTTTATCGCACTTTCGAGAACTCTGGAAGAAGCATCATTGTACTCAAGGATTTTTTCTTTGTTTCAAAATGGATATCAAGATGCAGAGTATGAGAGTTTCTTGTTTTTTTTAATTAAGCATTGTTACTATGACATAAAAAAGCGCTTTTATGACTGGAGCGCCATTTTTGAAGACATTGTTTTTTTTTTCGTCTTAAAAAGTAAGAATTTAAAAGAAAAGAATTCAATTATATAGAATAAAGACCTACAAAGAGTTTTACGTTGCGACATGAACTATTTTAGATCATTGATTGTAGTATATCTCCCGAAAACATCACGATATCGCGTTAAAAATTTTACCATAGTCTCTTAACTACACTCCTAGCATATCTTGAAAAAATCATGCGATTTGAATGTACCTGTCCCATGATCAGTTTTTAACGGGATAGACAGGAGTTAACTTTAATATTGATATATTTACTTGTGTCTGATTGTTAACTAATTGTGCTACCATTTTTGTCAATGTATGCATACTTGAACGTAATCCATTACATGTACGTGTTAGTTCATCAAGACGCATATCCATATTATATATAATATTAGCTAATTCACCATTATCATTACCAAATTTTGTATTTTTAACATATTCATTAGCAGAATCGACTGATTCAAATTTACGTTTTCGTGATATTTGTTGCGATTGCTCACCTTGCACAGCTATATATATTTTTTCAAAATGAAAAGAATTAATTAATTAAGAAAAGTAAATTTTCTTTTCACCTGTTTGATGAGAAACTGGTGTAAAAACACATCGATTAAGTGACGAATGATCTATATGTGCATACAGATGTAAATCAAAACTAGGACATGGTGCTAGAAAAATAATTATGCTTAATTAATCAATTTAGTTAGATCAATACATACGTTCATCATAGTCATGATCTTCTTGCATTTTTGTTAGAGGTATATATGGTTTTATTCGTAATTATGTACTTTTTATAGCTTTAACAAAACGATAGACATGATTATGCTTATCTTCATTGCTTAATCTTAATATTGATGAATCTAAAAAATCTAAAAATAAGTAAAATAAAAAAAATCATTCATTTTGCCTTCATATTGTTCATCAGTAGAATAAATCATCTGAAAAAAGAATATATAATGTAGAAGTCAATTTTTTTCTTTTTTAAATATTTCAATAAAATAGTACTACAGCGAAATGTTCATTGATTTTATTCTTGGATATACATTTTTTTTTGTTCTTATCTAAATTGAATCACCATTTGTTTTTACAACACTGAAAAAAAACTATGAATACTTAATTTGTATGACGTTCAAGATTATATAAAGGAAAAAAAATATACTCTGCAGGTTCTCATACTGAATAGATTTCATTATAAATAGTTATACACACAGAAATATATATATATATATATCAAAAGTTTATAATAAACGAAATGAAGAATTTAACAGATATCACGATTGACGTTGAGGTGCTTGTCCTCTTCGATGATTATTATTATTATGAGCAGTGCTATTATTATTATTATTATTATTATTATTGTTATTGTGATTTCGATTGCCAAATGGTCGACTATTGTATGTTGGTCGTCTAGTATTATTGAAGCTTCTAGGATGACGCTGATTTGTTGATGATGACCTAATTGGTGGTTCTCGGCAGATGGGGCAAACATTATTTTCCTAAACATATGCACATGAAATAATTTTATAAAAAATAAAAATCTTTACTTGTAACCAACGATCAGCACACTCTTTATGATATAAATGATTACATGGAAACCGACGTACTGTTTGCCTATTTTCAAAAAGTTCAAGACATACACTACATTTATTTTCTTCATCAGTATTATGTGAGTTAGGAATAAATTTTTCTTGTGGAATACTATTAATTTGATGTTCAGTTAATTTTTTCTTATGTATTGTATCATCAAGTTGAAGTAATCGCTAGAGAAATAAAAATTTTATTTATGATTAAATTTATTTTGAATTACTTCATAATCTTCTGGACCAAAATCTTCTTCAGTTTCTTGAAGATTTCTTGTACGACGATAGCCACGTGGTCGAAAACCAGGAAAAATTGAAGCAAACTCTTGTGGTAAAGGTCGACCTTGAGTAGCAAGAAATTGTAAAAATGGATTAGTCATTGCTCCATAGGGACTATCTTCATCACTATCATCATCAGCATTTGAAGATGGTCGTTGAGGAATTCTGAAAAATGGTCGAATTGGTTCAGCGTTAGATTCATTAGTTTCCGGAGTTTCAGATGATTCAGGATTTGATTGTGATCGAAATTGAATATATGGTGGTGCCTGCCTATGATATCGTTGACTAGATTGTCTTTCTTGTTCTTGTAAATATGCTGCATATTGTTCATCGCTTTCGAAATGTCGCTCACTAGTATCTAACAGTGGATGTGGATTTTCAATAGGTGATTCATCATCTTCTTGTACTTGAAATGGAAAAAGTGGATTTCGATTTGGCATGAAACTATCTCTTTCATATTCTTCTTGTTGAAGCCGAAGAGCAAATTCTGCATCAGAATCAACTTCTGCTAATCGAGCTGGATCATAACCAGATGCTTCTAATATTAAATTATTATCATTTATTAAACTTCCATTAGAAATTTGTTCCTTTTGCTCTAATGAAGGATTTTCATCATCATTTTCAGCCGGTCGAATTATTGATTTCATCAATGGCTAAAATAAAAAGTAAAAAAAAGAAATTATAATTATCTATTAGACAAGAGGAAATTATTTTTCATTCCAGTTTTTTTAACTCTTACAGCTATTTGTTTCAATTCTTGTGGTTTGAATATACGTTGAAATTCATTTAAAAAATGCGCCATAGATGATGATGACAGATGCTTTTGAGTCTTTTTATCTGCCATTATTTTATTGGAGGTTTCAATATGAAATCTTTTTGGTTAGTTACTCTTAGAAACGAAGATAGATTTCTCATTGCAAAGAAAAAAGCAAAACTATATGAGTAAGTTTTCGTGTTTTTGTCGTTCTGTTTGTTGCTTGTATATTTTCAACTATCGATGAGTAAAAAAAAAACAATCCCGCTTACATACAACAAAAAGAAAGAAAAAGAAAAAACCAAATTCGATAAAAAAACCGATAAAATAGGAGGTGAATACTCAACATACTTTATAAATAGCACGATTGTGATTTGAAGAATTATTAAATCGTGCTTGTAAATGATCAGCTTCAGTTGATCGGATAATTGATTGACGATGTTCAACATCAATATCCATCGGTTCACTGTCTAATGTTGAAGGCAAACTGAACGTGGATGTTGTTGGTAGAATCTTAAAAAACAATCAATATTAGTCAATCGATATATGAAATAATAATTCTCTACATCGTTACTATCACGAAGCGTATTCACCCATGGAATTGTTGATAAATCTTTTGCCATTATTGTAAGAAAATCAAGTCTTCAAAAGAAAAATACAGCCTATTTACATATACAATCTAGAAGGAATAAGAAGAATGTAAGAAAAAAAAAGAATCTTGATTGTTCTTTGTTGTTTTTTTTTACAAGTTAAATTTTCTTCCTCGATTATTTAATATGTTTGTTTTATAATAAATCCATGAATAAAAGTCAAAAAACAAAAAGAAGGACAAGACAATTTTCAAATAAGTCAATGGATTAATTAAGTATTTTTGGACGATCATGATAAGGACTTGATTGTTGTGTGCGTTGAATATATGCTTTACTTAATGATATTTGTCGTTCTAATTCTCTTAATTGTTTTTCAGCTAACATCCGTTTTTCTGTTTCATCTTGTAATTTAGATAACATATTATTAGCATCAAATTTTTCTGGTGAACCATGAAATATAACCATACCTAAAATAAACAAAAGATTTTTCTTTCTTAAATAAAATAAAATCTATTTTTTACCATCTTTTTTATTAATTGATGCAAATATTTGTCCATTTTCAATCATATCAATTAAGTATTTTTCAGCTTCATTTGTTGATTGAAGTTGTACACGATTAGCAAGATCTTTTAATGAGACAGTTAAAAATGTTTTTGTTAATTGTTGAATACTATTACATATAAATGCATTTCGTGTTTGTTTTATTAAACCTAAATTTCTATCACGTGCATATTGTTCTCGATGATGATTAACAAATTCATCAAATTGTGTTAATGTACCATTATTAAATATATTAAATAATTCTGTATATTGTGTACCACATAAACTTTTTATTGCTTGTTGAACTGTTCGACTAGTATATGTTGGTAATTGATTATTTGATGCTGAACCAGATATTAATTTAACTAGAACATATTTTTTATAAGCTTCTATAACAATAGCTGATGTTGCTGTAGCTGGTACAGTAATAACATTCTCAAAAAAATTCGCTGCACGATCAAATTGTTTTATACAAGCATAAATCATTCCACCATAATAATAAGCAAGTAAAAGATGTTTAACATCAAATTTACCATTTTCACGATTAATATCAATTATATCAATATCAAGATAAGTTAATGCTGGTTCAAACCATTGACAAAGAATACAAAGTTGATAGAGATCAGAATGTATGGAAAGTAATTGACCAGGTTCACGACGAAGTAATTCAATAGCTCGATAAAGAATGGGAATTCCTATTTATAGTATAAAAAATAGTTTGTGGTTTTTTTCAATGTAAACTATAAAAAAAAATGACTCATTGGATATTTTCATATTTATTCATTCATTGAAATAAACAAATTTCTTCATACTTTAGATCAAAAAAAAATTTATCTATATTATCATTTTCGTCTGTTTGATAACTTTATTAAATTTATTATCTTTTCTTTCATCGATCTAATATAAGATTCATTTTAATATTGTGAAAAAGAATTATATAACCTTTTATTTGTATTATTTCCTATGAAAAATTGATCATAAAAACAAGTGAGACTACATTGTAACAACAACTGAGTAACATTAAATTCAAAAACAAAAAAAAGATTAAGAATAATGCTTCGGCACAAGTCAAATTTCTTTCATGAATAATTTATATCCTACTGAACTAAATTGAAATTAATTCATTTAAAATAAAGTTAACTGCAGAAATTAATAATCATTATATTTCGCTCAATAAACTTGAATACTATTTTAAAAAAGATCAATTCGTTCTTATTTATACAATTTATCAAGTTATTTAAACCATCTGTCATTGATAAACTAAATAATCAAGTAGATCTATATTATCTTTCAAGTTCAAATGAATGTCAAAAAAACATGTTAGACAACAGAAAAGTAAAAATAATAATACGAAAAGGATAATAAAATATCAATCGATAATAACACCCAAACAAAATACGAAGGCCATACTCTGCACACTAGTAATGCATAGCTTACGAAGTTCGTTTCTTTTTAAGTAAATGACATATAATATCTCAAAAAAACCTATACTACCATCGTATGTTGATTACACACTATTAGATAGCAAAATCTGCTTCTTCTAGTCTTGATTTTTATTGTTATTCATTACAAACTCGTTTCCTCGATACTTATAACTTTATTCATACTAATTGATAGCCGAAAAGCTTCGTATTCTATCATTTAATATTTCTTTATTTCAGGATTATTGCTCACATAAAGCAAACAACAAACTTCAAGTAAATATGTTGTAATCATATTTATTTCTATTCAATCGATTTCTTTACTTATTAAATTATGTTCTCTCTGAAAAGAAATTTCTTACAATTAGATTTATTTCAGCAAACCTACCAAATCGAGCTCGATTTTCTTTTCGAAGTCGTTCTGTAATAACATGACATATTTCACATAGATATTGAGGTAAATAATGAACTTGTTCAGCTGAACATGTTTGAATAAATGTATCAACTTGTGTAAGATATAAATCAAACTCAGGTATATTTGGTGCTTTTATAATTGCATGTAAACCAGCTAACATACACTTAAAAACAGCAACAAAAAAAGAAAAATACAATGAAATTGGATATTTTTTGAAAATTTATTTTTACCATTGAATGTTCCGGTAAAGTAAAAGTAGCAATAATTGAATCAATATGCTGTATATTTTTACTAAGATGATCCATATTTGGATTTGTTAATGTTTGTGCTAAATCATTAAATTTACCATCTATTGATAATTGTCGAATATTTCCAACAAATTGATCTAAGGACGTCATTGTTTTCTTTTTTAATCTATCTAAAATGTTTTTTTATATTTATTGAGATATCAAAGACAAATAAATAAATAAATATTTAGACTTTATCTTTCCGTTTAAATAATTCTTAAAAAAACAACAATTATTTAAATTTTCAAATTATCAATACTTGTAAGTGTTTTACTTTATAAAACATAAAATTATTAAAATTAGCAATACAAATACAATCGGAAAACACGGAATAATGTATTTTTCGTCCGTAAAAACAAAAAACATTCAGTTGAATATGATTGGTAGTCATGTCTAGTCAGAATAATAAATAAAATATATACCAGCATGAGAAATAGCAGATGGCGTTCATAAACAATCTTTAAGGAGCATAATAAGATTTTATTCATTCGAAAAAAAGACTCGTTTAATGTGTCTTTCAAATCTAGTGGAAATGCCTTTATTCGATTCTATCAAAAAAAAAAAAAAAAAAAAAAGAGAAAGAAATCATCGATGCTGCAATATATTCAATCAAAACTTTGATAAACTTAAGAAAAAAAAGTAAGATAAAATACTAATTATCATCATCCGCTGAATAACAGTTCTTATTATCCTATTTGAAAAGTTATTGAGTAAGAGTTGAGTGCAACAAAGTGATCAAATGACAACCGAAAAATTTGAAACAAAAGAAATAAAGTTTCGAACTTTCGAATGTCATTCTGTAATCAACAGTAATTAAATTGATTTAATAATGTTACATGAAATTGTTCATTGACACAAATAACTTACAACAGATACAAAAGAAAAGAATAACAGTATAAAAATTATGATCAAGTCCTTTTATTTGTGGTAAACAGAAAGGCAAATGTGTAATTAAATGATGTAAGCATTTTTTAAATTTAAATAGGTTTTTTCATAGATTTAATACTTTTTCAATAGTTGTTTATTTACAATTCCATAAGAATCTTTTGGCATGATAAATTTAATAATAAAAAGAGATTTCTACTTTTAACGCATTATCTCGAGGTTGTTGAGTGATTTCTGTTTATGATTTCAAAATTTTCTACAGAAACAAACTGTTATTATGATGTTTTTGGCTAATTTTTCGTAACGATCAGTTTTCGCTAGTTCAATATTGTATGAATAGATTAAATAAACAGAAAAACATGGCTAGAACGAGACAAATAGAAAAAATTAATAGTTTGTTCAGAAACGAACTTTAGAAAGAAAGTATTGAAGAAATTTTTTTTCTGTAACAATCTAAGTCGAATTGAATCCGAATGAAAGTCTTTTTATTCGTTTCGGTCTCTGTTTCGAATGTAGGTCAATATCGATCTTTTACTATTATAATATCTCCATGAAAAAATAAAAAAGTACCTAGTCAAGGTTGCGCTCCTTTTCTTCTCAATTAATCATCATGTTTTATGCGATACGCAAATTAGAAAAGAAACGCAATAAGCCATTTGAGTATAATTACAAAATCAGCCGGCTGAAACTGTATAAGGCCAACCTAAATAAAAAATTGTTCTTTTGATGAGTAAAAGCAGTTCATTTGATGACAATCTATCTTCTATCGGGATTCAGAATCAAAGACTTCTAAACTAAATTTGATATATATATATTATGCAAATTTTTATTCTCTATTAAATAATTCAAAAAATATTCAAAAAATTGCATGGTATTTGCAGGTTGAAACTGGATTCATATCTGTTTTCTATATATATATATATTGATAGTTTTCCAGTAAAGAGAAAAATAAAAGTTTTTAGCGGTTCTTATTGCCATAAAACAATTGTAAAGCAAAATAGATACGATATTCCGAATCAATATCGAAAATTACATTGACTTAAATATATTTTAGAGAAAAGCTTTCTTTCTGAAACATTGATCGCTTGAAGCGAAATTTAAAAATAATAAAGTTGTGAGAAAAGGCAAATGAATAATCATTGTGAATATCGTACGTATTTTGCTTTGAAATTGTGTTATCAAAACAAGTCGCTAAATAATTTTTGTTTCTATTGAAAAACGGACGAAAAACATTACATAGAGAAGATCGATGTGAACCCAGCTTGACCCCGTACCTAAAATTTATTTTTGAATATTTTCTTTTGACTTTGTTGACAATAAAAAGTTGTGTAGTATCTGTAAAATTTAGTTTGAAAGCCTTTGATTCTGAATCTCGATAATAGATAGATTGTTATCAAATGAACCTTTTAGACTGCTGAATGGAATAATTTTTCATTCATGTTGACCTTATAAAGGTTGAGTTGACCAAACATTACAAAATACTAAAATAGATCACTGTTTGACTTCTAATTTGGATATCTCGTAAAAAAAATTTGAACGATTAATTGAGAAGAAAAGAAATTGCAACTTTTATTGGGTGGCCGTGGATAATTTTTCTCATAAAAACATGACATTAGTAAAAGATCGATAATGATTAGAAGAAAATGTTGTCTTTACCTAGCGCTTCATGTATTGGCATGATATTCGATGATCTCATAATTTCTATCATAAGTTTCTTTAAGATGATTTCTCTTTGTCTTTTATTAAAATCCAGCCATATTACAAATAAATGGACACGAAAAATTAATTGTCAGACATAGAACATTTCTCATCAAGATTTTTCAGTAATGGTTGAAGATCAATTAAAAGATCACGTCGTTTTTGTGGTCCAAATAGTATAGGAATATTTATATCAGTAATTAATGGAATAAACGGAGCTTGTTTAGCATTATATACGGCTCTATTCAATTGTGCTTTACGTTCTTCTAATTTTTTATGTTGTTCTTCTAAACATTTTTGTTCATGTTCAAGTTCTTTAATTGTTTCAAGAAGATCCGATTCAATTTGATCTCTAGTTCTTTTTAAGTGACGAGCAGCTATTCGATTTTTTTCACGTCGTAATTCACGTTTAATTGCTTCTTCACCATACAATGGTTCATCTCTTGATCGACGACCTGTAGCCAATGTCTGTGACTTACTTCGCCGATGACGCACACGAATTGGACCATAATCAACAATATAAGATGCTCCATTTGAATCCAATTTTTTATTGCAATCGTTTACTTCTGATTTGGTATTCTAAAAGTAACAGATTATACAATCATAGAAAACAAAAAGAAGTAAATGTTTTTATCTTGAATACCTCTTTTGATTTAACAGTGGACACTTTTTCTTCTGACATTCTTGTTTGAAACTGTCTGTTTTCATATCCTCTAATGATAATAATCGAAGACGAAATTAACCATCTGTATGTGTTTACTATATAAAATGTTTTCAATGATGACTTGTTTGTATTTCATGATTAATATATATGTAGGTAGCAAATAATATGGTAACAGAAAGAAAGAAAATAATAATTAAGGGATTTGACCTGTTAAATATGACACCAATCTGAAATATTCGTGGATAATGAGTCTTATATATATATGGTTTGACATTAAATCACTGTCGATCAATTGAAAAAGAAATCCTTGAAAGCAAAAAACAAACGAAACGTATGAGACGACATGCCAAAAAAAGTTTTATTGAGTTATATAATATTGTCTACTTCATAAGCACTTGATTTATTTAAAAAGGTGATATTTATCGCATCGTTCATTGACTGATGTGTCCTTCATACGATAAATCAAAGAGATATCCATTATTTTGTTACCTATTAAGCATATGCTTACATCAACGAGCAATTAAACTATCGCTTCTTTTGTAACACAATATTCATGGGACATTGACATTAATAAATATTAACATTTTATTTCCTAACAATTGCTTTTTTTATTATAATAGGAGACAATACTTCATATTTCGAATGATTTGGATTTGAAAAGGAGAAAGAATGTTGCAAACGCTCGGTGCACAAAACTTATTCATGTGGAAAGTCGATGATAGTCTAATCAGGTGAAAATGATCATATAAATGGTAGCCATTTTATTTTATGATTAATAAGGAAACTTCGCATTAAAAAAATTTTCTTCATATTAATATACGTAAAGTCATGATGGTCTATGCGATATTAATCGAATCTGCTGTTGTTAATGATAACTATTCAGTAGCAAAATGAACTAAGAAGTGATTATATTATGCTGAAAGAAAGAGTTTTTAAAATAATATTCCTACGTCCATCTATTTTAGAATAATGTTATTATTGTTCGTGAGAAATTAGTGTGTAGAAATTTGTTTTTATTTTGTGCTTTGATCAATAAACAACTTCATCTTAGTGCTCTTGATAAATTCGTATTAATCATTATCGATTAATGTTTTTTTCATATGAAAGATGATATTATCAAGATTATTGTTTCTATTTCTAAATATTATGACACAATAATTCGTTTTTATGATTTAGTAGCAAATAAAAACGTGACTACGATTCAACAGCTTGATTCTAAGGTGAATCAATTTTAACAAACTAAAAAGTTTATTTTTCGAAATCAACGAATTTTTAAATTACAGAAACATTATGAAAAAAGATTCTTTATCATTAGATAAATATTTAAATAAAATTAGTAAAATAATTGGTATAAAAAATTACAATAATAGTTTTAGCTAGTATCTTATGAGGTATTGCACCTGAATGACGACCAAAATTGCTCAATCGATCTCACAAAACTGAAAATTTCAGCTCAAATGGATGAACCACTCTAGAGATATATGTGTTGTAGGTATTAGTAGATGCCCAGCTACATTTTTAGTATCCTGTAATCCAATACTTTTCAGTAAATTTTTATTTTCTAAACCACAATAAAAGTTACACCATAGATTTTTTACCATAGATACTGTCGATCATGGACTATCTTTTCATAATATTCAAAGACTCTTTTCACGGAGTAATTCTTGATTGATATCATATGCCATTTCTAGAAGGCATGTTCATACAGATAAGGCAAATTGGTCGAACCAGTATGATGGATTAACTTGAGAGTAGTTTCAAACTGAAAGACTACATCAGAATGCATCAAATGTTGTTTTACAAAGTTAATGATATTGAACTTTGGTGTGTAAAATACTTCGTACAAGACCAAAAACACCAAATTTGCCAAACTATCTCAACTATTGATATGGACAATTTGTTTTCTCATGTTGGATTCATGTGGTTCAAATGAAACCTTGTGTTAAATATTCTCAAAATCTGACCTACTTATTCACGTGCCCATATTCTAGTTGACAAGACACCAAAAGAACTGAAATTTTCACTACAAACTATTCTCATTGTGACTTTTATATATGGAAAGCTTCAAGTTGAGATTGGCTTGTTTTGATTGTCTGAGTAGAACTATAGCGATGTCCCAAAAGTAATTCCATGATGTACAAAGTTTGAACTTGAAAGCGATTTCTCATTTAGAAACATTCTATTATAAAATATTTAAAACTAATGATCCAAATATGATGTAAATAAATTCGAAAAAAAGGAAACCTTTCACCATGTTTTTTGCAAGAACATTCAAACGAGTTGAAATTTCAGATTTTGAGGATCCTGAACACGAGCTTTTATTTGAATCATAAGAAAATTTTGTGTATCAAAATTCTACATAACAATTTTTTGAAAACAACATTAGATGCATTCTGATGTGTTCTTTCAATTTGAAACTACTCTTAAGCTAATCCATCACGTTGAGGATGTGGGTGTGAAGGTCCTATCTTCAATCGCACCGACAACCGGCCTTAGTCTCCATTATTCATATACGCAATTGGATCAACATGACATTTGTCTCACTTTTATTCATAGAGAGAGAAGGCCTGACAAAATAATGAAATAAAAAAAGTCAAATTTCTAATAATAAGTTCATTCGAACCGATTTGTGTCATTAATAGACAAGAAAACTATCTGACTCTCAAGCACTATCTTCCTAAATCCAGTAAAAGTATTCACAAAGGATGCTTTTCTGCTAAATACTTGTTTTATTATTCATCGAAAATTGTTTTTTTTATACGTTGTGATCAGTATCATAAATACAACATCCATAAGACTTTTGAAGTTTGAATAAAACTAATTATTTAATATCATGTATCAGTATCCAAAATAATACAATATCTTATAAACTGTACCTGAATCATTATTATCAATATTTTTTCCTGAACATTACAATATTGAATTTCATTTCCAGAATTTTTACTTTATGTCATGTCAGACCAATTATGTAGTGATCATCTATGATTTATATACTACTTGATTCAAGAAGTATTGAACTAAACAGAATTCGATAATGTATTTTTTATAAAGGCACGAAATCTTTGATTTGAATTGATCGGTAGATTTTACTACATGTCAAATAAAATCTTTGCATTTAAGCTGAAAAAAATCTTTATTTTGATTACAATGTTGCTCAAATAATAAACATACATTATTTGCATACAGTATTTTGAATTAAGAAACACTACTGTTTATATCAATGAAATATGGCTGAAAAAAATTCAGAAAATGATAGAAACTTGAAAGCAAGGATCCCGTGTCTGGATTTTTCTAGCTTCGGTCGGTAGAAACCATAACCGGAGAAAACTGACTATCGAATCCAATTACCAAATTCCTGCTTCCAACTTTCTACCATTTTTCGGTGGATTCTCATCGGAAGTTTGCACATTCGAGTACCAGAGTTATTGATCTGAATAAAGAAAAAAAGTATCTTAAAATATGCATCTATTCATTATTTATATTATATTTTGTTATATATTTTCCTTTTTCGAAATGCTATTTAATCAACATTCTAATCCATATTCGAAATGTCAAGTAAAAATAATCGTACAAGGTTTTCTAAACAGATGACACTGTTCTTCTTTATTTCATAATACAGTATAAAGTTTGAACAATAAAGTTTGATAAATGCAACAAAAACGAAAACAAAACATCGATGTGTTATACTGTTATGTATATATTTCTTTTGCTTGATTACCAGTCTAGTCACTAACTTATATCAATAAAGAACAAGTAAGGATAATTTGGAATATCAGATCATCGGAACAAATGTAAATAGAGAATTAATGGACTGAAGAATAATGGCTTGTATAAATAGTTAATTGTAAATGATACGATTATAGATGTTGATCTATTCTTCTGGAACTTCTGTTCTCGAATGTTCCATTTAAAGCTTTTAATTGTTCAAATACAATAAAGAAAACAATATTCCAAGGACCTAATCGAAGCCAAGAAGGAAAGAAACCTTTGTATAATGCCAAAAAGCCTTCATTTCGAGTAGTCTAAATAGAATTATGATTCAAAAAAATAATTAAAGCATTCGTAGAAAAAAAACAGAACTCTTACTTTAATAAAACAATCTATAATACCTTTATAAGGTGTTGAAGTTGATGTTAACTTACCACGAGACTGTAAATTTTCTTGATTCATTAAACGAGTCTTTGAAAGAAAAAGAAAATACGGTAAGCAATGGAACTAATAACATAGCATAACTTACTCGTATAACATCGATTGGTGTACTAGTGAAAGCACCAGCAAATCCAGCTATGAATGACGATAGAAAATGAGTTCCAATTGTATCTGAACTGTTAAATTGACATATTAAGTGTTGTTTTGCAGAATCATACACAGCTAATTCAACACCACTAACAATAGCTGCCCGTTGGACTGTAGGTAGAACACCCTTTATTAAAGTATAAAATAGATAAAATAGATTACTAGATAAATTATCTTCCTTACACTCCAAAGACCTCGAACACCTTCTTTTTTTGCTATAGAAATCATGGCAGAAAATAGTCGTTTACCTTGAACACTTGGATGATTAGCTTGCATACGAATCTAAATTCAAAAGTTAATTATAAGTATACTTAAGATTATCTTACTTTCAATAAATCAGTAGGATTTGCTATAGCATTAGCTAATGCACCAGAAAACATACCACTGAGAACATTAATATAAAGTTTTTCTTCTATAAAATAGTTCAATAACGATAATAAAATAACTTCGCTCAAAATACAAACGTCGAATGTCATCTGCAAAAAGACGTTTCATTTTTTGATATATACCAATTTTGATTGTTCCATAAGTTGCTTGACGTAATAAGGCTGCTGAAACACTGAAAAGAAAAAAACAAAAGATGAAAATTATCATGTTAAAACGAATAACACGAAAAAAAGAAACTAATGAGGCAACATTCTCAAGTGATCCCCTTTGCATTCCTTCATATTCTTCTAACATATAAACGATTACTAGGTTAGTGTAACCTCCAAAGTTTTTCTACTTATGCTAAAATTTGATCGACATAGCGATTCTTTAGTAGATTCCTCCTGTAGTAGCGCAGTTTTCGAAGAAAGTTGTATTCAAGAATTTTGACCTGTCATCTTATACATACAAAGATCTTGATTAGACAATCTCATATATAAAGTTTCATCAGTTTTGGATATTGCATCGCTAATACATAGGTTTCTCCATTTATCGACGCTTTTCTTTAAGGTCTGTCTTCTTCCTCCAAAATCAATTTTCATGGCTGCAAATCTTATCGTTCAGAAGCCATAATTAGTGTGGCGAAATAAGACTTTTATGTATATACAGGTTTTTTTTTCAAAAGACATTAAGCTACAACGTTCGGAGTATTCTCGTTTCAAAGAGTGCTTTTCACCACTTCAGATAAGGGAAAGAGTTTTTTATTTCATTTTTAGGGCCTTCAAAATCTTAGTCAATATTTTTCTAGAAAATCCATGACTGATTTAATATTGAGGGTCAAATACGAAGTTTATTTATCTCATTCGAAGGACAATGTATCTGCCTATCGAATAAAAAAAAACCACAGCTTACTAGAACAAATTGAAAATTGACAATTTATGCAAACATCAATTTCGAGAATTTTTTAATATATTTACCTGAAGAACTTTCTGACATAAACATGAAATATGACTGAAAATTCACCTAGAGGCTTATCGAATAGTCTATCGAGTTACACGTTGGAGTCATAATTGCAATAGCGTTAATAATTTTCCTATGAACACGGTATTGACCTTTTCGCTGAAGAGATGTAAAAATCTCTCATGATTTTTGAGGAAATCTTTTAAAATTGAAAGCTGCCATTATGAATCTTGAAACTAGATGCCTTAAGTGTTATGCCTATATATTTATCTCTAGCATTGTCTTTTTCTTAAATAGAAAAATCGATTTTTTTAAAAACTTTATACATGTAGTAGTCTCATCTTGACCTTCATGTGTACTAATTGATCAAATCTAAGCATGAGTAGAAAATCATTGGATGTTATGCTAGTCTAGTGATCTTCTACAGATTAGCTAAATATAAGGACTAAACAGAGCGGGTCACTTGGGAATATCCCTTCGTAAGTGAATAATTGTATACCCTGAGTAGAGCATGCGTACACCTTCTTCTTGACCAATTCTAAAAATAAATAAACGAAATCAATGTTTCATTTTTTTTTTTGTTGACACTATTTATTTCTTTTTTTATAACACAATTACCGATAAGCTGCCTGAAACATATTTGTATATTTTTTTTGAGCATATTTTAATTGTTGACTAGGATTATCGAATATCTGTCCTTGAATTTGTAGACGAGTTTTTGTCAGATCAATTGGGAATGTTGCTAGATAAAAATTTCGAAAGATCATTCAAATTTCACAAGAAATTAAACTTATTTTTCCTATGTCATAATCTTATGTATTATTCTCACAGCAGTTTATTTGGATAATTCCTATTATTTCTAGTCATAAAAATATTTAAACATATTGAAGCAATAAATTGTTTATAGTTATTCAATTTAGACCAAAACACATAAAATGTTTTGTAAACTTCTATAAGTAATAAAATGTTACCCAATTCGGCAACACTCGAAGCAAGACCACCAAATAAAAATGGCCGCCAGTCAAACATAACATAACATCTAGAAAATAAAACGAATTTGCATTGTAAACTTCCTATCACTCTAGATTTTAGAATCTGTGATGCATCAGTAACTGCCAAAATCTTGACGCAAGATTCTTTGCTCAGAAATATTGTATAAAGTTCAACCTTTTTCTGGTTGATAGAATAAAGACTGAACTTCAAAAAACATACGAAAAAAGTTTGATACCTATCATAGCCAAAAACTTCTTGCAACTTCTGTTCTCTTCAAACTTATCTCTCATGTCAAACCCTTTTTTTCTTATAGCAGATTACATTTGAAACTATATGTAATTATAGAAACTAGAGGGTTTTTTTTATCACTCTTTCAGATGAAGTATGATAAGTTATGTTTTAATCCTCTTCAACATCGCATCTGTGCAAATTTTCATTAGTAGATGATCCGTCTTATGCAATAGATTTTAGTCATATCTGGTTCTTGAAGGGGGCACAAATGACCCGCATAAAATTCTTACTACAGATAGAACACTTAAAGTAAGGATACGCGTTCTCGAGAAAAAAATTCAAACAAAGTTTTCGCAGTTTTTCCAGAAACTCTGGTTCTCCATAGGGTCTGTTTACGACCTCTCTCTAACTTTGTCTGAACGTGCTGAAATTTCGATCACAGATACTTGGAAGTATTCTCTAGAGGTACGATCGACTGTCTTCATTATTGATCTTCCTACTCGAATTTATTGAGTGCTGAACACCAACATCCCGGTTTTGGATTTGAACTTTTTACGCATTTTTTCACAAAAGAAAATAAAAGCACGTGAGAGTTTTGAGAAAGTTTAAAATCAACTCTAAGATATAGCCCTAGATTTCGTCGTAAAAAGTTTCAGTCCAATCAGACAAAGTTAGACGAAGGTCGTAAGAAGTTCCAATGTGGTCCTATGGAAAACTCTGTTTAGAATTTCTACCTTCGAACATGAGACTCCTTTTTCTAGGTGCTCTATCTATGATAAAAATTTTATACGGATCGGTTGTACTATTTTTGAGAACCAGGTATGGCCAAAAAGAAGATGAATTTTCTCAATATTCTACCTTTCCCATTCAAAATATTGTTTTCTATCGAAACCAAAGCATGTAATACACTTTATTTACTGTTAAAGAATTCCTGAGAAACTTTCTAAAGTATGAAAGTTGATCAAAATCTCCAAGGATCACTTTCTCATCCATTTGGTTTTCAAGAAAAAGTTTTCTTCAGACCCTAGAAAAAACGTTTTTCTCATATAAGTTTTGTACGATACTCTTAAGTGGACAACTACGTTTCGAGATTTTGGCAGAGTATTTTTGCATCTTAGGCTAGGCTTTTTGTTTTCTAATAAAAACTACATTATTCTTTTAATTCGTTGAGTTCACGTTAGTGAAGGAAAAGACTTAATACACACACATAGATATTAAAAGTTTATTAAAATAAACACAAAGAAAAATTTTCTCAAGTCTTTTTATATTTCTGCTTCATACATCATTTCATTTCTGTCTTTATTCGAATTTAGCTGCAATTGCTTCAAGGTCAGATTCTAAAAATTGAAATAACGTTGTAAAGTGATCAATATCAGTTAATTTTTCACGTCCACGTAAATCAATTAATTCAATTATTACTAAAGTTTCAACTACTTCATAACCAAGTTCAACGCATAATTTTTGTGCTGCACCCAATGTACCTTTAAAAAATAGAATTAATTTTTGTGAGCATCATTTTATAATAATAATAATAAACAAACTGACCACCGGTAGCAAGTAAATCATCGACTAAAAGAACTTTTGCTCCTGGTTTAAGAATACTAGATTGCATTTCTATCGTATCTTTACCTAGAAAGTTTTTTTTTAAGTTTCGTTTTTCTTTAAATACAAAGATTTTCATTACCATATTCAAGATCATAATCAAGTTTAACTAGTTTTCCTGGTAGCTTTCCATGTTTTCGAACAGGAAGAAATGGTACTTGTAGTTCTAAAGCAATTTGTGGACCAAATACAAATCCGCGAGCTTCAAGTCCGGCAACAGCTTCAATTTTTGTATTCAATTTTTTTACACGATTTAAAATAATATCAATTAAAGCACGATGAGCTGTTGGATTAGCAAAAACACCGAAAATATCGCTAAAATTTCAAAATATACATATAAATATATTTCTTTTTTAATTTAAAATAAAAAATATAAATACATGAATGTAATTCCTTTCTTCGGGAAATTTGGACAAAATTTTAACGATGAACGAATTAAATCCAAATTTTCATTTTCAGATCCTGTCATTGTTTGAATCTATATCTGAAATAATGATTGTTATAAGGAAAAAAAATTATTCACTTTTATCTCTGCAAAAAAATAGCGGTAAGACGTAACTTATGCATAAGTGCTGTTATCAGTTTCATTTATTAGATGTCTTATTTAATAAAAAATAAAAAAAAAGAAACAAAAAATGATGCCTAATTGACTCATAACTCAAATATAACAATTCCTTCTTTCGTTTTTTAACTTTTCAGTATTTACTCGTACTATTTCGATAAAATCTACAGAGTAGATTTGAAATTGTTGATCAAAATCTAGATTATATCGATATCAAGGGTAAGTACCTATGTCATAATATTTTGGGACAACTAAATAAGGATAAAAAGAACAAGATCTGCGTATCTTATTGTATGTTTTCATCTAAAAATTGCAATCAAAAGAATAGAATAACATATTGATTATTCATTACAGCGATTATACGATTTATCAACAAGAAAACAAAGTAATAAAAGGTCAAACTGACAATTAAAAACTATATTTCTAATTAGGAAAAATATCTAACAAACGATTGGTTAGTTAGACTAGTATAATACAAATGCTATACCTTAAATTAGATACTGGTTCTTTTTTCCAATATCATTCTTTAATTAAGGGTATTTCGTCCCCTTTCTGGTGCGTCTTGAGAACGGCTCATCAGAAATATGGAAAGCTTTCAAAGTAGATAGATCTTGACGAGTAAAAACAAAAAGTTATTCTAAACTCAAAGTTTCTGGAAGCTGTCTTCTATGAAATACTGAAATCACAATAGCGAAAAAAGGTCTCTCTGTTTCTCCGGAATACTATGTTCGATCGAGCTGAAAACTATTTTTCAGATACTAGACACTGTTTTAGATGGACCTCCGCTTCAGTTTTTGTCCTTCAGACAGAACAATCAAAATATTGAAGGTACTGTTTAAAACAGATTGTTTTTTGAAAAAAAAATTCCTAACTCAATCAGTGTATAGTATAAGTGAAAAAAGTTTCAGCTGGATCGAATGTATTAAACCGGAGAAACGGAAGCGTTTTCGCACGTTTATTCATGAAAAATTTGCTTTAAGAAAAACTCAATTTGCTTTTTTCGTACTTATTGCATAGATACTATTTCAGACTATACAATGGCAATAAAAAAAGAAAAAACTTCGGATCACGAAACGAAAAGCGCCCTTTATCCTTGAATCAATAAGAGAGATTAGTTTTTCTTTTTTTACATATTCATATTTGATTAGGATACAGATTTGCTCTTTTTCTTCTATTATTATTTTTTTATTTTGATAAAACTTATGTTCTGTAGATAAAATAACGGATGATCAAAAAGCAATGAAACAAAATGCTCATTTACTTTTTAGCCCTTGTATGGAAGCTACATATTGAGGTAAATTTAGAGTTTTATGTTCTTTCCGAATATGAGTTCAAAATTCTTTTAGGACTTGTAGTTTAGAAGTTGTGAGCTAGGCTTTAAGAGGCTCGGAGATTAAATTTTGATGAAGAGAATTGACGTTTTTCTATTGCTATAGTATACTTTACCGTGTAGGCTATATTACTGACTTTTTTTCAGCATAGAATTAAAGGCAAAATTGCTCCCTATAAAATAATGTGAGAATCAAGAGTTTCAAAACAACAATTCAAGAATGCCCGTCCTCACTTTGCAAATCTGTTTTCCACAGAAATCGAGAAGGTTCCTTAAATCGGCACGATGTCCCTAAACAAAATACTGGCTGTTACAATAATATCTTAGTTATTTAATCATTAATATATCATTTTATGGAGAAAAATTTGTTCTTTCATTTGCTTCGACTTACGTAATTTTTGGCGAGCTAAAGTTTGTCTAAACTTCATTTACGGCCTCATAACGCTTCAACCAAAAGTTCTACAAACATTCGTATTCGGAAAGAATAGAAAATTCTAATTTGCACCTAATCTATAGGCTCCTAAAAAGCCAGAAGAATAAATAAACATATTATCTAATTACTTTTCGATTACTCGTTAAAACCAATAGCAGATTGATCATACGTAGTTGAATTAATTTCGTTTTTAATGAAGATAGACTTCAAAAGTTGTAACAATCAACTTTTGCTAATATAATATATCCATAGACTTAAAAAGTAATAACTAAATTAATTTAGTTGTCTATCACGCGATCAAAGAACAAACTAAGAAATAAAATAAAAACTAAGTGTTTTTTTTTCCCTTAATAATCAAATGAATATTGAAAACATATTTACATCATGATGATGCAATCAATGATAAATGGTTTTTTATGTGCGTCGATTTAATCCTAATGAATTTTACAAGCAGAAAATAAAACAAATAATCTAAATTTGAAAATATAATATATTTCGATCTATATTTAATAAACTTGATATTTATTTTATTATTTAAAAAAACTAAGAAATATTTCAGCACAAATACAATAATTCAGATATCCATAAAATTCATCCAATGATAACCCAATTAGTGTTGCATGAGTAATTTCATGTAAGTTCTATATCGGTTCGTTTATTTGCGCATTGTAAATTTTTATTAACTTCATATTGGTTATATTTTATATAATCTGGACGAAGGAGATGTATAACAACAGAGGGCGTCCGAGAACGATTGGTTATGTAGAAATATTAATTGATTTTCGATATTTTTATACATATGATGGAAATTTTTGTGATGCAGTGAAGTTCAATTAGAAAATCTTATGAATTAAAATTAATTTGTGACAAAAAAAAGACGAATTGAAGTTATTTTTATTTTCATTTTATTTGGTCTCAAAACACATTCTGTGTAGAAAACTACAGCTCAAACTATCAGTTAAAATGAATTAGAATTTTAAAATTCAACAAAGAACATCTATAACGTTATTTTATTTTTTACATGCATGTAGCCCTTCTGAATATACTGAGTTCAAAGTATCCAGTTGCAAGTATGTTACAGGAACCGTTAGAATTGTATGAATTTTTAGCAATTAATCATAAAATGCTTCTAAATTTTTGATCTACTAACTTTTTTGTAGAGGCTCTTTATAGAATGAAATAGAAACTAGGCAGGTATCTGGTAAGTCAATCTGCTCCATAGTGGACGATTACTGTCAAGTACGTGTAACATGACTATTTTCTGTCAAAAATGGATTTTCTTTCGTAGAAATATCAGCTTCTTGTACTCCAAAGTAAGATTGATGAAAAAAAACTATTTGTGACGAAAAACTCTTGAGGGTGACCCTTAATCTAAACTCACGTGAAAACGATTTTCATTTTAAAAAGTGATCAATGGTACATCACTCAGCAGAGGTTTTTACCATAATTCCAAATATGTCTTTACTAATCTCTCAAAGTGCTTCTGTGACAAAGAAATTATGAGAAATCTTTAAAAACCGAGATTTTTAGAAAATCTGCATCTCAGATTAGAAGCATTTGCACCAACTGAGCGTACATCATAGGTGTAGAAAAAAATTCTCTGGAAGTTTTGTCGATATCGGGTTAGCGGAAAAAACGCGACGGCCAACTTTACTGAAGATATATGCATTTTTGGAAAATGCTGAGTGTAAAAAGAAGAATTATTTTTCAGAACGAAAACTTTTCTTGTCAGTAGATAGAACAGAAGTCCTAGTTTCAGACTTAATATGATTTATTGTCCAACTATTTTTATTTTCTTTACAAAAAATGATCCTTAATCAAAGTGCATAAGCTACTATTCAAATCTCGAAAAAGTTCACTTTCAGTTTTTCACATAATGTCCATATGCACCTTGAACTCAGTGCATACATTAGGGGGGTTAACTTCTCGGATATTACATCTGATAAAATGATAAAGTTTGGTTTACGTAACTATATTGAACATCAATATATTTATTCCAAGAATGAAAGTTTAATTGTTACATAATTAAATATTTTAGGAACTTTATAGATTAATCCGATCTTTGTGTTCTATCTTACTATAGAATGTTACTATGCAAATGCTCCTTGTTTTTTGTTTTCTTAATTCTTGGACAGGCTGTCACGGTAAAAAGAAAAACTGAATTGGCCCTGTGAAAAATAAGAAACTTCTGCTATATTCTACCACTATGCAAAATATGTCGGAGAAAACGCAGAAGAAAACAAAATATATGAAACAAATCTTAAAATGAAAAAGCCACTAATAAAGGACAGAGAACTAAAGCACATCACGCTAACTAATTATATTAGATAGCATGTCTTTTCTTTCGTCTTGACATCATGCTCATGATACGTTTGAAATCTATCGCTTTACTATCTTGATAGGAATTTGCACGAACAGTTTAATAAGTTATGCAGTATATTTTCAATGAATATAAATACTAATGATAATGAAGTCAATTTGATATTATAGTCATATTATTCGAGATAATTATCAAAAAATAAACCTTTTATTCTCAAAAATCTCTGCAAAATATTAATATAATAGTTATATGTTCGTTTTTGTTTAAACGTGAAGTAAAACTCAAGAAATTAGATGATATTTGACTGTGAGTAGTACTCGTGTTACTCACTATAGATGAGTTAGAACACAAATACTATCAATTTTTTATGTCATTCTACTCCAATGCTGCATTTATTTTCTTTCCCCCATGTCAACACTGTAAAGTCTTTCATTTTTCCTTTTCTTGGACTTCTTTTTAAAAATCTTTTCTCAACTATCATCTGTTTCATTTCAGTGTGCTATATATTGATAGATACAATAAAAGAACATGATTTTCATTGCCTGTTCTAATTAAAAGTAAAGCACGATCACTAATGTTGATACGCCTTGCCAAAATTTATTAATGGATCAAAAGGAAATTTAATTTCTTATCATTTCATGTCAAATAAATCGAATAAAGCTTAATTTTAGTGTCAGTACAACTTAATTTAACTTTTAAAGTGCTCATACATAAACAATACATAATATGTGACAATGATAGAGATCAAATGATATGTAAATCGTAATCATATTCTTGAGTTGTGCAGTTGCCATGAAGTCATTCTATTTTTTTAAATACAATTA